AGGTACATTCTGAAACTGCTATTCCTGTGCTATTCATTAACAGTTATGCATACAGTACTTACGCGCAATAATTTCAGACATCAAAATAGCTTCATATTAATAAAACTAACACGTTGGCTAATTATAGCATCATAGTTTTTTTTAATATATTTGTTAAATAAAACAGCTATCAAAATTTATTTGGCATTAATGAATATTATTCGAAAGGCGCGATAGTAATGGAAAATGGAAAGATTAAACAGTTTGGTGCCAGACATGTGACATAAAGAAGCGACCCAATGATGGATGAATGGAAATAAGTATATTGATGAGATTATATTAAAAATTTCACTTTAAAGCTACAGAATATGATGATGTAATCAAATGTTTCTCTTATAATAGATAAATAACTTCCAAATTGTTGATAAAATGAATTTAATTTTATATTTCAGTAATATAGTTAGATAGTATACGAATAATTTTTCAGATAAATTACTATCTAAATGGTTTTATAGGTTTAAAGATTATTTATATACTGTTATGGAAATACAGTTTAAAGTATATAAAATCATACAAAGTACAACTGCTAATGAACATACAGTTATAATTAATGAATTTGATTCTAAAGAAATTATCATAACGAAAATCAACCGATATAATCATTGTGCTAAATGACCCTCAAAGTATAGTTCATAGAAAGACGAGTAGAAAAGAAAAATTAATGATTGCATCAAGAAAATTCAACTTAAAGCAACTAAATACAATAAAGCAGTTGATTGGATTCCATTTGATAAATTAGATAGAATTCAAATGATTAGAACTAGGGAAGATGGTGTAAGTTTAAAATATTTAACAATGTGTTAGATGGTATTCGATAATTAATAGTTATCAGGCAGGCACTGCCTGATAACTGGTTTATTTGGTCAAAGATTTAAAATCAGAATAAGAAATTGAATTTCGAAAGAATTCAACTTCTTAAGCTGACTTTAAATCATTTGACCAAATAATTAAGTTATAAGGCATCTGCATGATTGATAACAGATTTATCTGGTAACTTATGACGATAGTCTGCCCAATAACAATTTTATTATTCGGCAACTATGTAGTTTTTGCCGAATAATAAATTTATGAGGCAGAAGAATCATAATAAGCTGCAGATAATTTCAGTTATCTGACAGGTCCTATGTGCGCATAGATGTTTTTTGTATGTATTATTCGATCACTATCTAATCATGTGAAAACTCAATTTTTTGATATTATTTCTTTTTGCATAACTCATAAAATTCATATTGGTGAAAGTTAAGGAAAAAAGATTTAACGAAAGAAAAAAAGTAAAAAAAAAGTTAAACAAAAAAAATGATGAGCGAAAGTAGAAAAGTAAGTGAATAAAAAAAAAGAGTAAAAGTGAGTCTAATGGTTAGAAAGATCGAATAATATATACGAAAAACAGCAGTGTTTACGTCGGACCTTACGGATAAAAATGTTATCAGTTAAGTTGTAATGAAAACTGATTATTTGTAAGGAACGATATAAATGACGTGGTAAAGCCACGCCATTTATATAGTAACCTAACGATAAATCAGTTATTATCCACAACCTAACCAATAACAAGTACGTTGTTATGTCCCTCACATGATTAACTTTTTTTTTCTTTTCTTTTTTTGGTATGGCCTTGGTGCTACCGATCTATACTTTATTTATTAATTCTATATATTAGTTATCCAATTTCCTTATTTGTATTTTCTATATATATATTTATTGCTATTGCTATATTTGGTAAATTGAGTTTAGAAGTCTAAAGTAGTGCGACATTATCAATACGATTGACATCGATTGTTGAAATGGCCCGGTATAAACCCACGTTTCACCAACTCATCTGGCAAAATAAATTTCCGAAACTTGGTCCAACAGTTTTGTGAAAAGACCAATAATTTAATATTCACATTCCTAAATTGACTTGATAAAAGAAGTTACTGCATTAAAATGTAACAAGGCATCTGAATCGTATGATTCACGCATGCTCTGTTTACATTTATCTAAAGATGAATGTGAAGCATTTAAATATGAGCACCAAGTCGTCTGATGACACACGCCCTATTTTAATTCATCATGGAGATGAATGTGGAATATTTTGGCATTACAACGATTATATGGGAAAGGTTTATTGGTGAAGGGTGAAGATGGAATTATAAATACAATTAGATAAATGGAACAAAGATATTCCATCAATTGGGTAGTTTAAAGAATTTATGTAAACTGAAAATGTATTTAAAGACTGACTCTTTAGCCTTCAATAAAATCCTTAGACTTCGATCTTAATAATTTCCTTGGTCTTTTATAATTAACCCCATGGCTGTTTAAAGCCATCTAAATCATAAATCGTGTATTTGAAGTGCTATGCTTCTTGTTAGCATTAAGCTATCTTAATGCGTGTTTGTTCTTTTAGTATTTATATATTGTTAGTTCTTTTGATTTTATTATCTATTTGTGTGAATACATCTTCACAATACAGTTGTTATAATACATGAATACATCTTCACGTTCTTTCATATAATACATTATTGTAATCCCCAATTCCCCATCACACTTTAAATCAACCCCATCCCGTTTTAAATTGTCAACAATTAACAATCAAGATTGATTAAGTTACCTGCATAATCTACGTCCCGATAAGTATCTCTTATCATTGACCCCCCATAGCTATCATCCACATTTGGATAGCCCCTGTCAGTTTCATATCGGCAACGATATTCACTAACCCGGTACCCCCATCTTGGTTTTCAAACACCCTAAATAAATGCCTTTTGACCTCATAAATCTACAACTAGTTTACTATCCTGAACCAAACTGGCACTGTATCACCTGATGCTCTCCCAAACCGATAGTAACAACGTATATTTACACAATCATATGTGCTATATAGAATAGATCTTAAAACATCTTATAGTTATTAGAAATTGTTTGACTTTTTAGAAATTATTTATTAAAGTTTATAATTTATTATCATTATCATTATAATTTTTATTTGGTGCAAATTACTTTGCTAATTAATACGTCAATAACATATTCAAAATTTGTGATTTTATTTTTTTTCAATACACTGATTATTTGTGTCAAATAGTAAGTTTAATTGAAATTTCAAATTGATCCATATAGTTAGTCGATTTGAATTAATCTAAAGTTGAATACAAACATATTTAATATTAACTTGCAAACAGCATTCAAATTTTTATAGAAGAAAGAAAAAATTCAGAAATCATGTAGCATTTGCTATATTAACATTAAATCTATTTTGATAGTAAACAGATGTGATAACATAAAATAAACCAAAGCTTATATTACTCATACTTTTGACTAATTACTCTTATAAATGTACTCTTATAATAATATTTACATGATTATGCAATACAATTATCTACTAAATAGACTAAAAAAATAATTAGAACTTTCAAATTGTCTATATACAAAATAAAAACTTACAAAGAACAAATTCTACAAATATACGATAAATAAACTGAAGCCTAATATCAGGCCTGATTACTATATCAATAATTTAATACATGTAAAAATTTTTACATTCCTGCTTTCACTACAGCTGCATCGTACCATGTATGTATTTTTCCTATATTTCATTGCGAAGTAGTTATTTATGGGAAATCTGAGTTTGATGCCACAGATTGAGGTTCGTGATCATGTATAATAGTTCGAGACCATGGATCTTGGCTGAGACCACAGAACTTAGTTTCAGACTACAACAATTTGAAATTATAAACATGATAGCTAAACTAATAAAGAAAAACAATCTAAAAACCATCAGGGCAGTGCAAATGAATCTGGCATGTTACATGATAAATAAAGTAATATTATATTTTGGCCTTACCTACCAACTAAACTCCATTTAAATAATTATGGTAATTAATAAAATTCCAAAAATATTAAATACCTTTTTATTTATTAAATATACTTATATTATTTAAAGAATATTATTATTATTAACTTATTTCTGCAATTTTAATAATAAAAAATAAAGGTATTCCAAACTATACTGTATAACTTAATTTTGTTAAGATTGACCATCAATACAATCATAAAGTCATGTAGTATACAACTCATAAGGAACAGTGATATTGAATCATAATTTTGTTCCCATACTCCCGATATTAACTTTGCTCAAAACTAAAAAATGTAAAGTAAAAGAATTCATAGTAGCATCAAATTCTGAATGCAAGAAATTTATAATAGCAAAATAAATGGGACTGCACCATATAAATGTGCATGAAAATTTAAATTAATCATGAAAAAGAAGATAAAAAACCAAAAAAACCATTAGTATGGAAAATTTAAATAAAAAATTAAAATGAGGCATTTACCTTTTTTAGCCAAACCCCAAATACTATGAGATTCATTAATAAAATAAAAGAGATTTGAATATAATAGAAGTTTTAAAATTGTCAATTTTTGGATTAGCAATAACTTGAAGAAAATCTCTTTTCTTTCTGCTAAAATAAGTAAATTATTCTTCGAGATATCTGAAGAAAATTTACATAATATGTTTGGCTAATTTTAGCAATTTTATGGGTTGGCCTTATTATCATTAGAATTAGAATGACTATCTACTAATCTTTCAGATATGTAATAGAAATTTTCACAGCAAAAAAAAAAGTTTGAATATTGCCATATTCTTATAGCAAACACCATACCTTACAATATTAACATAAGTCTTTACAAAAAGAACTGAATATTGTTAATTATTTTTTTTTTTACTATGATCAGTTTCATAAATAAATTAGTTATTTTATGGTAATCTATGTATTTTATGATATGTCACATCTATATTTTATAAATAACGGCAATTTTATGATACGTCACATCTATATTTTATGAATAACGGCATTTTTTCAAAATTGTCATAAGTGTACAAAGAATTATATTAAGACAAATATAAAAAATAGCAAAGAAAAGACTGTACAAATTGCTTTATTATAATTAGTTTTTTCAATTTATGTAAATTACATTATAATTCAATATTGATTAATTGTAATATGATCGCCATTCAAATAATAATTATTAATGATCGTAGTACCTTGCCCATTATTAGATGCATTTTGCAAACCGGATTGTGATGACCGCAACAGCCTTTTTCCACCAAGAGTTGGATTTTTTTTGGTCGCATTAACGTGAAGAGGCAAATTCAGCTTTGTACTATTTTTTAAAGGGCTACGAAATTCGGAATATACTGTGCTTTTTTGTTGCATATAGGAATCCAGATAGTTATCGGGCCTCTAAAATAAAATAAATTTATAAGTTTAAACGTAATTTAAAACAAATAAATAAAATTAAAAATTTTACTGGATCCTGATTTTTATTTAAAGAATCATCAACGATATCATTATCTTTATTATTTCGAAATTCCAGAAGATCAACGACATCATTATCTTCATTATTTTGAGATTCTGTAAGATCAACAATATCAATTAATGTAGACAATGCATTCTTTTTTTGCTGCTCACTTGGCCGTGAATATATACAATAAGGTGATTCGCTTTTGTGACCTTTTATTGACATTGAAGTAACAATCGCGATGCCTTCACGAAATAAGTGTGTAATTGGTGTGGTTCTTCCCGAATGATTAACGATATTACTGTCTTTGAGGTTTATCTCAACTTGAGAACAAATGTTTTTCATAAAATTACTGCACAAGTTTAACTCCAATTTAGCGTCAAGATACCATTTACTATTTTCGTATTCTATATTAAATAATTGTAAGTTACATATGTAATTTATTAATTAAAAAAAAAATAACATTACAAAATACCATGAATATTTTTATTAATTTTAAGATGAAGGAATTGACATGCACAATTTGTGGGTCTTTTGCTTAAATAAAGCTTAATATCATGAACAGGCCCCAAATATCCTTCTGGATCTGCTGGTACTGGTATAATAAGCGAATCCAAATTTCCTTCAATACCACCAGGATCATTTTTTTGAGAAAATTTCGTAAACCGAAGTCCTCCATTGTCAAGAAAAGTGAATTGTGTAATCTTCATTTAACTATGTTCACCACCACATGGAGCGAAAAGAAGACAACACCACATAAAGACTCGATTTTGGAGACCTTTAGCCATATTAATCGACAGAGCCTCATGATTAAATATTGTCTTTAATTCATCAGGTGACAATGGATCGTAATGTTTGGTAGTCTTTCCGAATTGCTTCAGAACCTTCATTTTACTATTAAGAACTTCCCACAATAAAGGAAATTCATTTTTATTGTTAATTATGAATTTCTCACTACCCAGATGTTTGTAAATATAATTACTTAAACAATTATATGCATTAACTAATGATGAAGGAGTATAATCGCTCCCATCTTGAATTTATCGCACACCACAAAAAAATTTCATTATTTCTTTTTCAAGCTGGTCTTTATTAGTGATCGTTTCAATACCATAACAATATCCAACATTATTTCGCCACCGATTCAAAGCTTTTACCCATTTTTTCGTAGCATTACAAGTATTTTCAGGAATGCAAGACTCGATTATCTCATCAATTTCTGTATCGGTAGGTAAGTAATCACCACGGCCTTTAGCATATAGTTTTCTTTTTTCCTAACATACCATTAAAATTAATTTAAATTA